TAAATTCAAGTATAGTGCTAAAAGTGTGAGATCAACTTTATCACAGAAATTAATTGAATAAATATATTTGCAAGTACTGTGACCTTGGCAGTGGCAGAATTTTCCTCTTCATCCAAGGGTTTGTAAAATGGATGAGGGGATGGGCAAAATTAGGGAATCCTCCTCTTTTCTTCCCTCGGACTAGGTATCCAAGATTCTTAGTTAATAATGTAAGCACTGAACCCAGGATTACTTTTTTTTTTTTTCATGGAAGTTCACACTGACATTCTAGAACACCTTATAGGAATGGTCTTTTGAAAAGATGTAATATGTTGAAGAGGTCAGCACATACTGGGGATGCAGAGTAAGATGATCTTGCAGTCCAAGGGGCTCCCAAGAGTCTTCTCCAACACCACAGTTCAGAAGCACCAGTTCTTCTGTGCTCAGTCTTCTTTATGGTCCAACTCTCACATCTATCCATGACTAGAAGAACCATAGCTTTGACTCGACAGACCTTTGTTGGCAAAGTAATGTCTCTGCTTTTTAATACGCTGTCTAGGTTGGTCAGAGCTTTTTTTCCAAGGAGCAAGCATAACCTTGGCATTACTGTGAAGTACTATGACCTTGGCAGTTGTAGAATTTTCCCCTTCACCCAAGTGTTTGTGAAATGGATGAGGGGATGGGAGAAATTAGGAAACACTTCTCTTTTCTTCCCTTGGCCTAGGTATCCAAGATTATTAGTTAATAATGTAAACATTGAACTCAGGATTACTTTTTTTTTTTTTAATAGAAGTTCTTGTTGACATTCTAGAACACCTTATAGGAGTGGTCTTTTGAAAAGATGTAATATGTTGAAGAGGCCAGCACATACTGGGGATGCAGAGTAAATGTTAAATCCATAAACCTATTGTTGAATGTAGTAGTCATGAAAGAGGTAGTAAAGAAGAGAGCCATATTCATTCTGTGTAGAGCCTATGGCTCTACATAGAGCCATACATAATTTCATGGCTACAGTCAACCATCTGCAGTGATTTTGGAGCCCAAGAAAATAAAGTCTGTCACTGTTTCCATTGTTTCCCCATCTGTGTGCCATGAAGTGATAGGACCAGATGCCATGATCTTCATTTTTTGAATAAAGTACAGAGGTCTTGGAAAGAATCTCTGTCAGAATCTGGCAATGGAGAAGAAACTGGGTATCTATGACTAGACTCAAAGTGAGCCAGCAGGGGGCTGAATCTAAGTTCAAACAGGAAAGGCTTTGTTCTTTTAGATGGGAGCCAAAGGAAATAACTTACCATGATCTAGATGGTAGAAATATTGTGGACCAGCTAGAAATCAGGGGTGGCTACGGGCAGGCCCAGAAAAGGGACTCAAGGTGTTAAGTCATGAGTATCTTGGAGATAGTAAGGAGTGTCTCCTAGGAACTTAACGGGTATCTTGGAGAAGGATGCTCACTGGTCACTGATCTGCTTATTCAACATTTATTGATACCTACTTTGTACTACCTACTGGCACAAATTGGGAAAGGAGTACGTCAAGGCTGTATATTGTATTGCTACTTATTTAACTTATATGCAGAGTACATCATGTGAAATGCTGGGCTGGATGAAGCATAAACTGGAATCAAGATTACCTGGAGAAATATCAATAACCTCAGATATGCAGATGACACCAGCCTTATGGCAGAAAGCAAAGAGAAACTAAAGAGCCTTTTGATGAAAGTAAAAAAGGAGAGTGAAAAAACTGGCTTAAAACTCACCATTCAAAAATGAAGATCATAGCATCCGGTCTCATCACTTCATGGCAAATAGATGGGGAAACAATGGAAGCAGTGACAAACTTTATTTTCCTGGGCCCCCAAATCACTGCAGATGGTGACTGCAGCCATGAAATTAAAAGATGCTTGCTTGGAAGAAAAGCTATGACCAACTTAGACAGCATATTAAAAAGTGGAGATAGACCAACAAAGGTCTATCTAGTCAAAGCTATGGCTTTTCCAGTGGTCATGTATGGATATGAGAGTTGGACTATGAAGAAAGCTGAGTGCCAAAGAATTGATGCTTTTGAACTGTGGTGTTGGAGAAGACTCTTGAGAGTCCCTTGGACTGCAAGGAGATCCAACCAGTCCATCCTAAAGGAAGTCAGTCATGAATATTCATTGGAAGGGTTGATGCTGAAACTGAAGCTCCAATACTGTGGCTGCTTGATGCGAAGAACTGACTCACTGGAAAAGATCCTGATGTTGGGAAAAATTGAAGGCAGGAGGAGAAGGGGATGACAGAGGATAAGATGATTGGATGACATCACCAGCTTGATGGACATGAGTTTGAGCAAGGTCTAAGAGTTGGTGCTGGAGGGGGAAGCCTGGCATGCTGCAGTCCATGGGGTTGCAAAGAGTCAGACACAACTGAGCAACTGAACTGAACTGTTTACTAGGCACTGTTGGAAACGCTGGGGATGAAACAGTGAGCAAACAGATGAATTTGTGAAGCTTACATTCTTTTTTTTTTTTAAATTCTCAGCTTTATTGAGGTATAATGGATAATACAGTTGTAAGATATTTAATGTTTACATCATGATGATTTGATATTCATGTACATTGTGAAAGGATTCCCACCATCCATTTAATGAATACCTTCATCACGTCATTTATTATTTTTTTTGATAAGTACATTTAAATTCTGCTCTCTTAGCAAATTTCAATTATATAATATGGTGTTATTAACTGTAGTCATTCATCATTCACTTTAGCTCCTCAAACCTTATTCATCTGAAAATTGAGCGTTTGTAGCCTTTATCAACCTTCCCGTTATTCCCATCTTGCAGCCCACGGTAACCACTTTTTTGGTTTGTTTCTAGGTGTTTGACTTTTCTTTTTAAATTAGATTCCACATATAAGTGAGATAATACACTTCTTTCTCTGACTTATTTCACTTAGCATGATGCTTCAGTGTTCAGCTATGTTGTTCTAAACAGCAGGATTTTCTTCTTTCTCACAGCTGGATAATATTCCATTGTATGTATTGCATACATACATCAATATTGGATCTTCTTTATCCATGTATTCGTTAAATGACACTGAGTTTGTCTACATATTTTGGCCATTGCAAATAACGCGGCAATGAACATGGGCGTGTAGATGTCTCTTTGAGATCCTGTTTTCATTTCTTTTGGACACAGAAGTGGAATTGCTGTATCGTTGTTGTTGTTGTTGTTCAGTTGCCCAGGCATGTTCAAGTCTTGTTGACCCCATGGACTGCAGCAAACCAGGCCTCCCTTCCCTCAACATCTCCCTGAATTTGCCCAAGTTCATGTTCATTGCATCGGTGATGCTGTCCAGCCATCTCATCCTTTGATGCCCTGTTCTCCTTCTGCCCTCAATCTTTCCCAGCATCATGGACTTTTCTGATGAGTTGTCTGTTCACATTAGATGACCAAAATACTGGAACTTTAGCTTCGGCATCAGTCCTTCCAGTGAATATTCAGGGTTGATCTCCCTTAAGATTGACTGATTTGATCTCCTTGCTATATCATATGGTAGTTCTATTTTTAATATTTTGAAAAATCTCCATATGGTTTTCCATAATGGCTGTAGTGATTTGCATTTCCTCCAACAGTGCAGGAGAGTTTCCTTTTCTCCATGTCCTAGCCAACATTTGTTATTTGTTTGGTTTTTGATGGTAGCCATTCTGACAGATATGAGGGGATATCTCATTGTGGTTTTGATTTGCATTTCCCTGATGATTAGAAATTTTGAGCATTCTTTCTTGTGCCTGTTGGCCGTCTGTATGTGTTCTTTGGAAGAATGTCTATTCAGATCTTCTGCCTATATTTTAGTTGGGTTGTTTTCTTTGATATTGAGTTGCATGAGCTCTTTGTATATGTTGGCTCCTTATCGTTTGTTGAGCTCCTTATCAGGATATGTCATTTCATATTCAGCTCCTTTTCAGTCACATTATACAAACATTTTCTTCCGTTCAGTAGGTTGTCCTTTTGTTTTGTCAGTGGTTTACTTTACTGTGCCAAAACTTTTAAGTTTAGTTAGATACCATTTATTTACTTTTGTGTTTGTTTCCTTTGCCTTAGGAAACAGAACCAAAAAATATTGCAATGATTTATGTCAAAGAAATTTTGGTCTGTGTTTTCCTCTAGGAGTTTTATGGTTTCAGGTCTTCAAGTTTTTAATCCATTTTTAGTTGCTTTTTTTGTGTATGGTGCAAGGCAGTGGTCTAGTTGCATTCTTTTCACATGGTTGCCCAGTTTTTCCTATCACCTTTTATTGAGGAGACTATTCTTTCCTCAAGCTTGCCTTCTTGTAGGGGAAAATACACAAGAACCAAATAAGTGCATGGTACTCTGTGGTACATCAGATCATAGTAATTGCTTTTGAGAAAAGTAGAGCAAGGAAGGAGGGGTGGGAAATGCTTGGATGTTGCAGTTTTAAATGGGATGGTCAACTCCGTGTAAGTGAGGAGGTAACATTTGGGCAAGTTCCTGAAGAAGGATTTGGTGGGTTTTATTCCTATGAGAAGGAATTTGAGTACATGAACTTGTCTTGACTGGTGTGTTTCAACTCTGTTTAACATGGGTCAAAATTTTCTGTCCTGCTATTTGAAAATTTAATTGCATCAACAAATAACTATGTGAGTTGGGTGAAGGAGAGGAGGATGCTATTTTTGAAGGAGGAAGGATAGACATAGAAGGGATGGTAGGGAAAGCCCCTTCTTAATTGCTATGAGGATACTGTGGCCAGTCGTGAAAGTGAGGCCACAGGTGTTTGATGACCTTTGCCATCATGTGACCTCAGTCTATGGGAGTTGTTTCTGACATCATCAGTTGACAGATGATGTAGAGCAGTACATTTTATTTTGACAGCAGATTATTGCATGGGTTAGGCTTTAACAAACACAAAGTCATTGGCTGTGAAGCTTAAATGTAATTCCTTGCATTGTAGTGCTAATACTTTGTACGTATTTGTCTCTACAGCTTTGTAGGAAGTTAACCTCAGAGAGTCAGACGGGATGGCTAGCTCAGCCCGGGAGCACCTGCTTTTTGTAAGGCGTCGAAATCCTCAGATGCGGTACACCCTGAGTCCAGAGAACCTCCAGAGCCTGGCTGCCCAGAGCTCCATGACTGAGAATATGACCCTACAGCGGGCCAACAGTGACACAGATCTGGTGACCTCTGAGAGCCGCTCCAGCTTGACGGCCAGCATGTATGAGTACACGCTGGGGCAAGCCCAGAACCTCATCATCTTCTGGGACATTAAAGAGGAGGTGGATCCCAGTGATTGGATAGGACTGTATCACATAGGTGAGTCAAGTGAACTGGACTTGCTTGTGACTTAGTGCATACATTTTGCTCTGACATTATACTATTTTGTGTTTTCTCCTGGGAAGAAATTCACATACATAAATTTAAAAAGCCATATCTTGGGAATTTTTTCTTCTTCTTTGAGGTAGGGGAATCAACAATTATAAATATCTTTGCTGATATGAATTCTGTGGTTAATTTCTACCCTAATTAAACATCAGAACCTGCAGTATTTTCTTTTTAAAACTTCACTTTACCCTTGATCATTAGCTGCGTTTTGGAAAGAGGTGGCTATAAACATTTATTCATATTTTTAAACCAATGAAAAAGATGTTTGGATTTAGATAACTGATATAAAAAATGTTCTGTATTTTCAGAAGGTTGAATTACATTAAGAATCTTTTTATTTCAAAATTCCTTGATGTGTCCTAGATCAATTTGGTAAAGAAAGTGTTGTAGTCCTCTAACAAATAACTTAGAAATAGGTTGCTATTTGTTTTAATAAAAGTGCCCCAACCCTGTTTAGTTTATTTGTATCTTTTTTCATAGGTGAGTGCATGATGAATAAGCATGTCCCAGAAAATATAGTATCTGTTCCTCAAGTTGAAAGCAAAAGTAAAACCTACTAACCAGTCATAAAGAAATCTAAATCAAATCTAGTAAGAAAATCTTAACATTCCCCAAAGTTGGACAACTTTATCACTGAATGAAGGGAGTTCTTTAAAAAAAAAAATTAACAACAGATGTCTTATCAGAAGGCATTGTTCTTTTCAATGTATATTATAAGCCACGCACTTTGTGTGTGTGTGTGTGTGTGAATACAGTGGGAGTAGGGTGGGAAAAACTAGTCTATGCACTGCTTCTCTACCAGGGGCAATTTGCCTACTTCCTCTATGGGACATTTGGCACTGTTTGGCGATGTTTTTGTTTGGCAGAACTGGATAGGGGAAACGGGAGGTCAGTGATGCTGCCAAACATCCTACAATGCAGAGGACACCCCCTCACAACAAAGAATTATCTATCCTCACATGTCAGCACACTGTTGAGAAACCCTAGTTGAGGCAAAGTAATATCCTTGCTGAAATTTCATTAAAATGTTAAACCCATTGCATTTGTTTCTCTGGACAATTTTATATTGATGAAAATAAAATTGATTTGTATTTACTTATGTAAATTTTAATGCTGAATCATGCTAGATAGCAAGAAATGGAAACAAAAATTCAATGAATTTTAATTTTTCTATTTCCTCTTATGACAAAAAGAAGGGGAGGAAAAGTCTTCAGAGTTCAGCATTTTTCCCTGGAGTGTTTAAATATATGTTTATAGTGAGGGCGATACATGATTTTAAAATTATATGTTTAGGAGTTTTATAGTTTCTGGCCTTACATTTAGATTTTTAATCCATTTTGAGTTTATTTTTGTGTATGGTGTTAGAAAGTGTTCTAGTTTCATTCTTTTACAAGTGGTTGACCAGTTTTCCCAGCACCACTTGTTAAAGAGGTTGTCTTTTTTCCATTGTATATCCTTGCCTCCTTTGTCAAAGATAAGGTGTCCATAGGTTCGTGGATTTATCTCTGGGCTTTCTATTCTGTTCCATTGATCTATATTTCTGTCTTTGTGCCAGTACCATACTGTCTTGATGATTGTGGCTTTGTAGTATAGTCTGAAGTCAGGCAGGTTGATTCCTCCAGTTCCATTCTTCTTTCTCAAGATTACTTTGGCTATCTGAGGTTTTTTGTATTTCCATACAAACTGTGAAATTATTTGTTCTAGTTCCGTGAAGAATACTGTTGGTAGCTTGATAGGGATTGCATTGAATCTATAGATTGCTTTGGGTAGTCTAGCCATTTTAACAATATTGATTCTTCCAATCCATGAACACGGTATGTTTCTCCATCTGTTTGTGTCCTCTTTGATTTCTTTTTTTTTTTCATTTATTTTTATTAGTTGGAGGCTAATTACTTTACAATATTCTCTTTGATTTCTTTCATCAGTGTTTTATAGTTTTCATTGTATAGGTCTTTTGTTTCTTTAGGTAGATATTCTCTTAAGTATTTTATTCTTTTTGTTGCAATGGTGAATGGCATTGTTTCCTTAATTTCTCTTTCTGTTTTCTCATTGTTAGTGTATAGGAATGCAAGGGATTTCTGTGTGTTGGATGCATGAGACAAGTGCTCGGGCCTGGTGCACTGGGAAGACCCAGAGGGATCAGGTGGAGAGGAGGGTGGGAGGGGGGATCAGGGTGGGGAATACATGTAAATCCATGGCTGATTCATGTCAATGTATGACAAAAACCACTACAATATTGTAAAGTAATTAGCCTCCAACTAATAAAAATAAATGGGAAAAAAATAAAATTATATGTTTATATCTAAGATCTATTCTGTTCACAAAAGAGTATTGCAATTTTGATGTGACTTTAGAGGTAACTCTTGTAGTTTTGATATAATTGTGCTCTTTTGGATTTTATGAAGCATTTTTATTTTCACTTTTCTCATATTTTTCCTTTTTTTTCCCCCCTCACTTAAGATTTTGTAATGCTTAATATGAAGCTACAAATAGCATATTGTGTTTTCTTAGGTGATTTTTTAATGTGACATTTTTTGGGATGCAACTTTATTTTCTCGCATAGGGTGATTCCTTCTTTCTGTGTGAATATCTTAATTTGTGGGCTCCCCTGGTGGCTTAGTGGTTAAGAGTCTGCTTGCCAAAGCAGGAGAAGTGGGTTTGATCCCTGGGTCAGGATGATCTTCTGGAGAAGGAAAGGCAACCCACTCCAGTATTCTTGCCTGGGAAATCCCATGGACAGAAGAGCCTGATGGCTGCAGTCCATGGGGTTGCAAAAGAAATAGACCATTTAGCGACTAAACAACCACAACAATAATCTGTAAGATGCTGGAATCACTTAAGACAGTGTAAACAACAACAATACTTTAATCTAAGAGGCTAGAATCACTTAAGACAATGATTCCTCTTTATAGTTTTTCCGCCACTCTTTCTGTTTCTGCATCCCTCTTGTTTTATTTCCTTATCTATATTTAACTGAGAAGGAACTAAGGAAAGGAGAGCCAAGTTTATCTTATTCCCAAGTGACCAAAGTCACAAAATCTTGGTGTTCTTGTATTTATTTCACTTTCTAGAGTATAGATCAGAGGTCTAAATCGAGAATTAGCCCAAATATATAGCTAGGAAAATATTTTGGCAAATAAATCTCTTGAGAAGTGCTATTCTTCTTTAGTTAATTTCAAGTTTTCTCTGTGTCTTTCTCACATATCATCATGATATTTTTGCTTCTCTGTATGTAATGTGTCTCTTTTTTTCCCTTTGGCTACTTTCAATATTTTTTTCTTTATCTTGGTTTTCATCTGTTTGTCTATAATGCACCTAGGTGTGATTTTCTTTTTATTTATATTGGTTGGGATTGTTTAAGCTTTTTAAGTAAATGTTTTTAATGAAAATTGTGAAAAGTTTGGTCATTAATTCTTTGGACATTTTTTCTTTTTTCTGAGAACTTCTTTTTTCTGAGACTTCAGTTACACATATGTTACATGTTGTTCTTTAAGGTTCTGAGGCTCTGGTTAATTTTTCTTTAATCTCTTTAGTGTTCGGATTCAACCAAGTTTGCCAACTTTTCTTTTTGTTTTTCTTCATTCTCCTGTTAGGCCTGTTCAGTGGATTTAAAAATTTCAGTTATTTGACTTTTCATTGATAGACTATGCATTTCTCTTTATATAGTTTTAATTTCTCTATGAGAGTCTGATATATCTTAATTCTATCGGGTCATATCTTTTTTCAGTCATTTGAATTGATTTGAATACATCTGCTTTAAATTCTCTGCTATATCCAATCTTAGAGGGGAGCTTGTCTAAGGGTCTTTTTTATTGTCTGTTTTTCTGTGAGTCCCATTTTTCTGTTTCTTTGCATTTTTTCACTTTACAATGGACATTGAGGATTCTCTATTGTAGAAACTCTGAGTTCTGTGGCATACTTTTAATGTTAATTTTTATTCTGGTTGGATGATTTATTTCCCTGAACTTACTAGGTACGATTTAACACTTGGTTAGAATGTATCTATGGAAAACCTAATGTAGTTATCCAGCTCTTCTAACTTGATGGGATTCAGTCTTCAGGTTTAGGCTCCTTTATGGGTTTTGTTAGGACTTGATTTGGGGTTTTGTTAGAGTAGGTCTATTGTGGGCTTTACTCTAGGACTTTGTGGTTATCCCTAAGTCATGCCATTTCTGATGCCTTAGCCAGATGCCTGGAACGTTAGCCATCCTCTCTGGCTGGGCTGTAATTCCAGTGTCTCCAGAACTGTTTGACTACTTTAACTCCACTGCACTCTCAGCCCTGGAGCAGCTACTCTCTGGAAAGCCTTGGGAGTCTCACCCTGCACGTACGCAGCCCAGACCGTGGCCAAAGGCTTGTGGGGGATCCCCATGTGGACCTTTGGCCTTTATTACCTCATCACTCTTTCCAGGGCCTTGCCTGCAGATTCTAGCCACTTCAGTTGAGCCAAACTCTGATTGCTGCCTCCTTGAAGTGAAATGAGGTTGCTCAGTCGTGTCTGACTCTTTGTGACCCCATGGACTGTAGCTTACCAGGCTCCTCCGTCCATGGGATTCTCCAGGCAAGAATACTGGAGGGTTGCAATTTCCTTCTCCAGGGGATCTTCCCGACCCAGGGATCGAACCCAGGTGTCCCACGTTGGAGGCAGACGCTTTAACCTCTGAGCCACCAGGGAAGCCCTGCTGCCTCGTTAGCTCATTAGAGCTGTCATGAACTCAGGAAATTGTTCCCCAGATAAGATCAGGAAGGTCATGGAGTCGCCTTATAAGTTTCCCTTCTGTCTGGGATTTTAATCCATTGTGCAGTGTCATAAAATAGCTGCTTACTAGTTTTACAGTCATTTCATTAGGAAGACAAGTTTGGAACTAATTGCTACAATATGGCCTGGAGCAGAAGTTTCTCCCCTACTTTTGATTTAGGATCGGCGGTAA